GCGTTGTGCTTGATGCTTTATTCACATTATCTATTTTAATCTTCTTCACGGCCCCGTAATTATGCCCTTATGACAGATGAGATTTCTTTGGGCAACTTGGCCAATATTTTCAACTGTGCTGGGCTCAGAAACTAATCTAGTCTGCCTCAGAAATCCTCAACAGCTCTTCTGGTGTGTTCTAACCCAGCACGTAGCAGGGTAACAGGCAGTGATTGCAGGCTGTGTACTGCCTCTTTTTCTGTAGCACCTAGCACAGGGTCTTAGGTGTGATAGATGTATGTTAGGTGCTCAGCAGGGCTTCCCTGGTGGTTCAGATAGCAAAGAATCCACCTGCAATGCAGGAGACCTGCCTTTGACCCCTGGGTGGAGAAGATCCCCTGGAGAAAAGAATGGTTACCCACTCCAGTACTCTTGCCTGGAGAATCCCCTGGACAGAGGAGCCTGGTGGTCTACAGTCCATGGGGTCATGAAGAATTGGATAGGACTAAGCAACTTAGTACACACGCAGGTGCTCAGCAAATCCTTGATGAATGGATTGAGAAGTCATAAAATTTATCATCCAAACTGGGACACTTCTGATAGTGAAAATGAGTCTACTTGCAGCTACATATAGGCTCAGCTCATGAAAAATCAGGATTGTTCTGGGAAAAAAGGGCTGTTTTCCTCTCATCCTTTTGATGAGAGGAAGGAAAGAAAGAGGGAAGGAGAGAGGGAAGGGAACAGGAGAGCAGAGAAAGGGAAGAACACATCCATGGTGATTTATTGTACTGAAAAGTTTTGTATGGCACATAAAGCTTTCTCACAATTAATGATATGAAGTTGAAAAATAGAACAGACCTCAGAGAAGTAGTGTATCTGTGTAAAAGAGTTTATTATGTTAGTGATTTCAAGTTGTATTATAAAAGAGGAGGGATGGAGAGCTATAAGGAAGTAAGGGAAGCCTGAAAATTTTGAAGGAAAATAATTCCATTTATTTTCAGCCCTCGAAGACAAATAGTGTCTGCGTGAGGAGACACAATGATACATCAAAGAACAAAGGACCTGGAAACTAATTTCTTTCCAACAGTTAGGTAGAGAAGTTTAGATCTTCTCTGAGGGGCTGAGCTGGAAGTTGCTGGGAGGGGACACGAAGCCTTTCATGCCCGGGGCCAGCTGGGGCTCATCCAGTTCTGACCACTCAGCTGAAAATAAAGGGCCAGAGCTGGGGAATAGGAGGCCTGAAGAAACTTCCTGGGAAAGTGGTTTAAGCTTCTCTGAGTCTCACTTTCCTCATCTGCTCATTCAGGATAAGACAGTTACCTCACCGCGTGAGGTGAAAATTCAATTAAATACGGAAGGTGTGCGTCCTCCCAGCCAGGACCTCTGACTGAGCAGCCTGGGACCTGTGTTCCACTTGTCTGTGCTCCCTCACGTCTGCTGCTGATACTTTGGACCATGTATCTTTCCAGGTGTGGTAAAGAATCCACCTGCCAACGCAGGAGATGCAAGAGATGACGTGGGTTCAATCCCTGGGTCTGGAAGATCCTCTGGAGGAGGAAATGGCAACCCACTCTAGTACTCTTGCCTGAAAATTTCAATGGACAGAGGAGCCTGGTGGGCTATAGTCCATAGGGTTGCAGAGAGTCAGTCATGACTGAGCATGCACACAGATAGACTGAATATTTGTGTCCCCCACCCCAAATCCTCAATGTGATGGTGTTAGGAGGTGGACCTGGGGGAAGTGAATAGGTCATGGGAGTGCAAGCCTCGTGGGGATTAGTGCCTTTACAAAAGAGGCTGCACAGATCTTGCCTCTTCGTGACATTACAGTGAAATGACAGACGTCTGTCTATGGGGAAGCAGGGCCCCTCATAGACCCCTCATGCTGAATCTGCCCTTGCCATGATCTTGGACTTCCCAGTCTCCAGAAATAAATGTTTGTTGTTTATAAGCCACCTAGTATGCTTTGTTGTAGCAGCCCAAATGGACTAAGACGGACAAAGCACATTACATTTGTGTTGCCTTGCAGGACCTGTCAGCACTCAAACAACAGCTTCAGCTGGCTGAGAAGACGGGTCTCCATCTGTCTCACTGATTGCCCAGGGAAGGCAAGACAAGGCTCGAGCGGGAATGCTGGGAGAAGATGCAAGGAGCCGTAGGAACTGCAGACATGCTTTATTCATGAATGGCTAATGCAGCAGCAAGGTAGACATGCTTTATTCTCTAGTGGCTGACGCTGACCGTAATGCAGCCACAAGGGCTTTTCAGGCGGTGCTTATATAGGTATACCGACCAAAGGTGGCACATGGCCAAACGAGTACCTCTTGGTGCGTGTGTGCATTGCTATAAATGATCTTAGCTCTTACATAACCATGCAAAGTCACTGTTTGTAGAACATGGGGCGAGAGAGCCTGACCTCTGCCATCTTGGTTAATTGCTATTTCCCTACATTCCACCCCTTCGGGGTCTCTCACCTCACAATCTACACCCAGTCCATCTTCTGTTATGCCCTCTTGGTGAGTAACACTGGCCTTGGACCAACATCCCACAGCAAGAATAGAGGCTACAGCAACAAACTACTAGGGCACAAGCTATACCCCCAATACACAGCAAAACCCAATGCCAGGTACTGGATAGGTGATTCCTACATGAGGGGGCCAGGCACTCATCACCCAGGGTACAACCTGGAACTCACATTGCAGTCCTTGCCTCCACGGGGCTAGAAGAGTGACCCACCATATTTACCTTCCATGGCCAAGTCCAGTCTGCCGTCTGTCCTTGTGCAATCTCAGTTGGAGTGGGCAGCAGGATGTTGCCGTGGGGATCCGTATCCAGGCTCTAACACAGATGCAGTGGCATGATGCAGGAGAGCCTCCACAGGGGGCAGCTCCACCCTTGCAGTTTCTCATTAAGGACCCACAAGACCCCCATGGGTGTCAGGCCCATCGTTCAAAGAGGGGATTTTTACAGCATTCACGGCCCACCCACATGATTTCAAATGCTTTATAAGCTCTGGTGCACATTGTTCTAAATCTGCAAGAGAATCAGAGGTTAGTAACACATCATCAATATAGTGGAACAATTTCACTGATGTTGGGCTCTTCCATCTCACCAAGTCTTCTGCAAGAGGAAGATGTATATATTATCGGGCTATGCAGGTACCCTAGGGGTGGGACCTGGAACATCCACTGGGTCCCTTCTAAGTGAATGCAAATTGATCTCAGCTCTCATCAGCTATAGAGAAAAAAACGTTAGCTAAGGCCACCACACGATGATAAGTGCCCAATGCTGGGGTCGGTAGGTCCATCAAGTCATGAACTGATGGCATGGCAGCGTGCATAGGTGGCACCACCTTATTCAGCTCTTTACAGTCCACAGTCCTCAGCCATGAGCCACCCGGCTTCCAAACAGTCCACACAGGAAGTTAAATGGGCTCTAGGGGCCCATTGAGGGGGCCATTGAGGGCGCCACACAAGGCCCACTTTCACCAGCTCAGCAATGCTGGTGCCTGTCTCTTCATGGTCGACTGGTAGATGATACTGTCTCACAGCTGTTACCCTCAAAGGTGCTAGCAGTAACTGTGGGGATGCTTTGTGTATTCCCGCATGACACGCTTCACTACATGCAATTGGGGATGAAACTCCCCTGCAGAGGTTTGCAACATTAGGCCTTGCAGAACATCTATCCCCAAAATGTCTTCTGGGATTGGGAATACATGCACAGTATACCTAGGCACAGGGAGTCATCCAGTTTTCATGGGTAAGGACACAGCCTTACTGTTTGGCCGCTATAGCCATCAATTTGTGCACAAGGACTGGGAAACTGCTCTGGCTTGCTGTAAATAAGGCTGCATTCGGCACCAGTGTCAACCTTAGCCATTACCCTGTGTGTTAGCCTGTGACAGTGAATTACAAGCTCTACATGTGACCTCTGGTCCCCGCTTGAGCTCATCAGGTAGGCACCTCGGCCTGAGCCCTATTCAAAGTGGATCAGCCTTGGGCGCTATGCAATCTTCTAACAGCTACCCGATTCTCTTGCTATGGGCGCTTCTCACACTTGATAAGCTGCTGCTCTGGTCTCAGTTGACTCTACAGCTCCAGAAGCGTGGCACTGGGCCGTTTATCACTTTGATCTCTGTCAGCTCCCTGTGCCAGCAGATTGGCCCAGATTTGCATTCGTGTCAACCGGATGGGGCCTTTACCAGCTCAGCCCCCTTTCGGAGTCTTCACACTTCTAATCCCCTGTGCCTGCCTCCATCCTTCTACTTCTTCCAAGCTTGCCTCCACTGAGGTCACCTCATAGACGGGAGGGCCCGCATAAGGCGCAAGAATGCCAGTTGACGACATGAAGGAAGTAGATGGGGCATTGATCAAAATGGTGTCTTGCCTGCTGCCTGTAAAACGCTTGTCATCTGGGCCTCAAGTGTTCAAGCTAAACATAGACTGTTTCATGCCCAATTCCCTCAAAACTTGGGTCAACTCAGCAAAGGTATGCCACTCACTCACAGTGTCCAGGAGTTCACACGGTACGCTTGGCAGCATTAATCCATTCCATCAGGGTGTGTGTTTGGTTAGGAGCCCTGAAGGGTCATGTGTCACCTGGGGGTTTAGTAGCTAAGTTGTGTCTGACTCTTGTGATCCCATGGACTGTGGCCCGCCAAGCTCCCCTCTCTGTGGGATTTTCCAGGCAAGAATACTGGAGTGGGTTTCCATTTCCTTCTCCAGGAGATCTTCCCAACCCAGGGATGGAACCCGGGTCTCCTGCACTGGAGGCAGATTCTTTACCAATTGAGCTACCAGGGAATTCCTAGGGTTCTGAAATCTTGGTCTCTGAGTGTTTACAGATGCCAACCATTCTATCTCATCCCCAGAACAAACAATACCATCCACCCCTGTGTCCCAGAGTTGCAAAAGCCAAGCTGCCAAGGGTTTCCTTTGTTTCTGCCAAAATTGTTTACACAAGTCAACCAACTGCGCTTAGGTATATTGTTGATGATAAACAGTGTACACAACTGGGGGCCCTTAGAGGATGCCCTCCCAGGCCATAGGCTCTTCTTGTTTCACCTTCTGCTGCATGATGGGCCTTGATAAGTGCAGACCTATGGTCTCATCATGTTCATCATCACCGTCCCTTATCACCTCACTGTCAAAGGCACTGGGTTTGGCAACAAGAACACTAATCTCTTGTTCCAGCATATGTATACTTGGTTCTAACTCTTCCTCCCATCTGCGCAGTTCACACACTTGCACAGCATCATGCAGGGCACAATCCATTTTAGCCTTCAGGGCAGTCAGGAAAATCCACCCCATGGTCCTAGCAGCAGTATACACTGTTTTGTCCAGCAAACGGGAACTCACCACCTGTAACGCCTTTTCAAGGCTATCTGGTGACTGTTTCACCACCTCCCAGTCTTCTACTGGGGCCCAAACAGAGAGGACCATGGCCACTTGGTACCACATACTATATATGCAGTGACCACTGGCTTCTTACATCCATTAGAACCTCAGGCTCCTCTCCCTGCTAGGAATCCTGACGGCTACACCGATTGTCCTACTGATCGCTGAACTCAGGGTGGGCAAGGCAAGAGAAAGGAAGCTGGAAGAAGACACAGGGAGCCTTAGGAACTGCAGACGCGTTTTACTCACTAATGGCTGATGCAGCAGCAAGGCAGACATGGATGCATGATTCCCAGATGGTGCTTATGTAGGTATACAGAACAAAGTTTGCATGTGGCCAAGAGAGTACACATGATGTGCGTGTGCATGGCTATAAATGATCTCAGCTCTTACATAACCATGCAAGGTCATGGTTTACAGAATGTGGGGAGAGAGCAAGAGGACATGAGGCAAGAGAGCCTGACCATCGCCATCTTGGCTAACTGCTGTTACCCTACACCATCTGACCAGGTATGCCCATCTTTCAAGAGGATGCCCATTGTGAGGGTCATTGATTTTTCATTGGCTTGACTTGAATGTGGGATTCAAGGCTTTCTCAAGAGGCAGGCTGACCACATAAGGGCTAACATCCCTGGCGGTGAGTAGGTCCATAAAACAAGTGAGGGTAAGCATGTATATATGTGTGTATGTGTTTAGTGAGAATAAAGAAGTGAGATGAAAAGGGCTGAGGTCACGGATGAACCACAGAGTATCTTCCAAGCATCCTGAACCCCTGCATCTAGAATATCCACTTGTTCTAAACATTCAGGGAGAAGAAAGCTGAATCACTGACATCCTATATAAGTCTAAATTTTCTGATGGCATTTTACATCATTAAAGCTTAATGAGAAAAACTTGAGCAGGGGAGCAGTCTAGCTTATTAAGCTCATTTTTTGGTCTATTTTTCATTCTATAAAGAAATTCAGATTCAAAGCCTGCACAACAAAGAAGTGTTCACTTCCCTTTGTGAAGTAATATGTTTGTTTTGTTTACTTTAAATTGGGCTTAAATTAGGCCTCAGAAGGACAGAATTCATTAAAATCCTGATCTGTGATGTTGGCAAGTTGCCATCTGAAAAGCCTGCATTGCTTCTTTGATAGGGTTCAGAGGAGAAACACAAATGCCAAAAATAAGATTATAGTTTTACTTGATATGCCAATTTATTATGTTTCCATCAGACTGCAAAATCACAAAATTAGAAAGATAAAGAAGAAAAAGATTAATTCTTGATAGGCAGATTTTTTTCTCCACTTAGAATACACATAGACCTTGTATGCATTATGTATGTTTTCTTCTAACATTTTTCTGTGAAGAGACACATGTGAAAATCCATGAACATACATGAATGTGGTAACATTGATATCATACCTCACACATAAATTGTATCCTGCTCTTTTCCACTTAATCTTATATTATTATCATTGCTTCTCACCAAATATTATTTGATAACAAATTTTAAGTATTTTCATAGATAAGGCATGAATTCTTATTAATTGAAGAGGCCCCTATCATTATCTGTAGGGACTCTTTCCAGTTTACCATCATTGTCAGTAATGCATGAGAACTAACCATGTTTAAATATAAATTTGGAATCAGATATCTCTTTGGATTCTTAAAAATAGTATTTTTATGTTCAGAGAAGTGCTAATTTTAAAGCTGATAGGATGCTTCTTATGAAATATCTTCCCATGAAACTGGATAGGGGGCCAAATATTTCCCCCCTCCCCCAGCCTTCAGCACTATTAAATCATGTCAATTTATGAGTGTCCTTTGCACATTTTTATACAAGTGTTAATATTTGTATAATACAAATTTTAAAATTTTTAATTTAAGACTATTAGCCCTTCATTTTGTTTGTTTGCAAATGGATTTTCCAATTTGTCATACACCTTTTAATTTTGTTTTTGATGACAGACTACTCACGTTTTTAAGTAGCCATATATACAAACTTTTTCTAAAGACCTTCTCCTTTGCTTTTATGCTCTAAGTCCTCGTCTATTTCTAGTTAGTTTACTACCTGCCAATACTTTCTTCTTGTTTTAAAATTTTAAAAAATATTTGATCTAAATTAAATTCATCTTCTGGAAAGTGTAAAGTATGAATCTAAGTTGAATTTTTCAAATAGATTTAACTACCTCGATATCAGTTTCTGAATACTCAGTTCCCTGTTGTTTGTAAATGTTCTTTCATCATACATTTGATTTATTCCATCATGTTCTACTTAATCCCCTTTTGTTTTTGGCATCTTGCCTCAAAATTAAGGTAATTGGGTAATTTGTTTTGGTAACTGATAGTTTACAACCATTTTAACATTTTTCCTACATTTTCTTAACTGTCTCTATTTTATTCTTTCAGATGAAATTTATACTCATTTGAAATTTGACAAGCTCCCAACCAATTTAATATCCCACTGAGATCACGCTGCACCTACCTATTTGCTTGGAGAGTGCTTGCTTTTTATACCACGGTACTTGTGAGCATGGGTCTCTAAGGCAAGAGTTCAGATCTGCTGTTTGCTCTTTATAGTTATGTGACTTGGGCGAATGGCTTGACTCCTTCTAATTCCAGTTTCCTCCTCTGGACTATAAGGTCCATGAGAACAGGGTCCTGGGGCCTCTTTAAGGTGTCTCTCCAGTGTGGTACAAAATGGGCACTCAATGAATATGTTATGAGTGAATAAATGATTAACTGAATCCATCTACAGTTCATCCAGAAATACTATGAGGATATAAATTAGGAGACTTAAAAATTTTAACTTCCTAGTATAGTAGCTAATATGTGCTTTATGTTCAATACTTAATTATTACTGTCATATTTTTTAAAAATTCTTTATTTATTTTTGGTGGCACTGGGTCTTCATTGCTGTGAGATGGCTTCTCTTATTGTGGAGCATGGACATGTGGGAGCTTCCTGGATGAGGATCAAACCTGTGAACCCGCATTAGCAAGCAGAGTCTTAACCACTGGACCACTAGGGAAGTCCTTATTATTGTCATATTATATTTATGATGTTTAGTCCTTTAAATAGGAATTTGGAATTTGTCTCTTATTCAAATACTTTTTGTATTTCTCAATAAATTTCTAAGATTGATACCATCCATTTTTACTTATGCTTGTGTGAGTGCTAAGTTGGTGCAGTTGTGTCCAACTCTTTGTGACCCCATGAACCGTAGCCTCCAGGCTCCTCTGTCTGTGGGATTCTCCAGGCAAGAACACTGGAGTGGGGTGCCATTCCCTTCTCCAGGGGATCTTCTTGACCCAGGGATCGAACCCACATCTCCTGTATCTCCTGCATCGAACCACTGAGCCACCGGGAAGCCCCCTTACTTATGGGTATTCCCAGGTGTTTCACCTGTTGTGTGTCTTTTTTTTTAAAGATGTTTCACTACATTTTAATTATCATTTGTTAAAATGGCCAAAACCCTAGAATGATAGATATCAATTACACCTATATACCAAAGTGAGATGACCTTCACCTTCAAGGACTAGCAGAGGAGGCTATGAAAATCGGTTTTATAATCCTTGTCTGTTTACTTTCTCAAGCATCACAGAGTTAAATGCAGAGGTGGGGAGAATTTGGAAATGGAGACTTTTTAAAAGAGAGGATGGCCTGAAATCTGTGTCCCATTCCACACCCCCTTTCTCTCACACAACACCTATGCACCCGTGGGGAAGGGTGTAGGATGCTTTCCTATCTACACACACCCAGTGCAAGTGGATGCATCGGGGGCACTCACAGAACTGGTTGAGAGAGCCTGGAACTGGCAGCTTGATGGTATGGCATCTCAGTCATGCCTCTAAATCTGAAGGAACTAGAGTCTGAAGCAGCTTCAGGCAGAACATAGACAGCCATAGTGGAAGAAAACTGTGGCCACCACCAGCAGATCTAAGAGACCTGATTCTCCTGGAGGCCAGACAGAGTCAGTGGAGCTACCTGATGGCTCAAGAAGACTTGATCAGCAATAGGCAGGAAGTGGGCAGCCAAGGGAAGAGTTGGGATGACCATCCAGGTGTCCATCCTCCATGTCAGGACAAGGCAGGCATGAAGACCTCAGTGGTAGTGGCTCTGCCAAGAAGCCACGAAGTGCTCCAAAGAAGGTCTCCTTTAAGTACCCGAGACCAAAGAGTGACAATGCACAATATGAACCGCATAAGACATTTCTGCCCTCTTGCCTCTCCTCCTTTCCTCCCACCCCTCCCCCCCCATCCATTTTGACTCTGGAAGGTCAGAACTGGTATCAGCAAGTAGAGTGGTGGAATGCAAACACACACCAAAAGCTGGAAAATGGGAGAAGCTTTAACTGAATGGGAGCTTGGACTTTAGATTGGAATGAGAATGCCTGAGGATTAAAGTGACCTGAAGGCTTATTAATTATCTCAGAGAGGCCAGAACATCCCAGCTTTTGCCCTCAATTTTATCCAAGAAAGTAGAAAAGAATAAGCCCTCCAAAATCAGTATGCAGGAGCAGTGGTAAGAACAGTAGCAAGTTGTTTTCTGTTGTATCCTTCAAATTCTGACATTCAACATGACAGTTGTGTTGGTTCAAATTACAATGTTATTTTAATAATAAGCATGAAAAAAATTATGAAGTGAGTGAAGCAAATTAGGAAAGAGACATTCAGTTATTTATCTTAGGGAGTTTATATAGCAGCAGATATGTTTTTAAGCGTGCAAAGATCAAACCAGTAAACCATGGGGATGGACCGTCCAGACCATCAAGACCATTACTCTGTCTGTAGACCAAGTTACAACTGTATCAGGCTTCCCTGTTGGCTCAGGGGTAAAGAACCCACCTGCCAATGCAGGAGATGTAAGAGACATGGATTCGACCCCTGGGTTGGGAAGATCCCCTGGAGGAAGGCATGGCAACCCAC